CCTCCTCCTCCTCCTTCTCTCCTCCCTCCTCCCCCCACCCCGTTGCAACCCGGAAGAGCTCTGCTGTCTACACTGAGCCAAGGGAGGCAGAGGGGAGGGGGCTCTTAGCAAGGATTCACATCATCCAGGTTTTACCTCTGGCTGGAAGCCTGGTTGAGATGCAGTGAAGCCGCCTCGGCACTGGGGCTGCCTCGGGAGCTTCGGCAACAGTGGTGAAGTCTGCCTGTCATTCTGCCTTCAGATCTCCAGCAAGGCGGGTGGAAAAAATAAAAAACAGCTGGTCTTCAGGAGAGAGCTGCCCTGGTCAGTGAGTACATAGCTATCTCCTTTTCCTCCGTTCTCCCTCTCCCTGCACCACGTGGAGAGAATTAAGAGGAGGTCTCTCCCATGGGGACAACTGCCTCTGAAAGAAAGTGAACTAGACCCCGGCCCTTTATTGTTCTTTCTGGGCACTGGAAGTCTTTGGCTTCCTGCAGTGACCTTGGGTGATCATGGTGTAGGAGTATGTGGATGCCCTTGTTTGGAGGAAGGAGCTAGCAAAACTTGGGGTGCAAAGAAAAACTGAATGGGGGGCAGTAAGAGCTGGCGGGATGCTTGGGAAGGGCTCTGGGTAGACGCTTTTCACTGCACGGAGAACAGAGCATTAGAGGCAACAGCCTGTCTGCTCAGGAGCTTTCTCTATAGGTGGCTGCCATGCCCAAGTGTCAACTGCATGTTTACTTTCCCAGATTACAAGGGTATGTTTAGGTTCATTGTCTGCATATCATCTAAGAAACATGTGCACTGTGAGACAAAGTTGGAGCCCAGATGTGACAACATCTGGCATCCCCTCAGGGTAGCTGGTGGTCGGTAGGCGGTAGGCACCCTTGCTTACAGAAGCACCCTGCTGTGGGAGAGAAAACCAGTTTCCCAGAGAGTGTGACCAGGATTCCGTGGAGGGAAAAGGCAGAGGGAATAAAATTTGGATATTTTTCCTGGGATAGCAGACCAGCAGACCTCCAATATGTCATTCAGAAATAGATCACACACACACACACACACACACACACACAGAGAGGGGGGGGGAGATAATGCTAAAATGCAAAGTCTGGTGAATCTGAGATATGAGCAGAGCAATATATATATATATATATATATATATATATATATATATATAATCTTTAATAGAGCAGGCTGACAAACTGACAGGTGTGATTCCATCCAGAGTAGGAATGAAGTAATAGTGCCTGCTGGAACCTCCTTGGCATAGGTGTATTTCCATATTTCTTGACCATCTCCTCCCCTTATAGACCATGCTGGGACCCTGAAATCACAGTTTGAGAGACCCAGCACTCTGTAGGGACAAATAATGACGATAGCCTTTCTGCAGCCACTCTTTGGTCACTCTTTGGTGGTGGTGGTCATGGGCTGTCCCTCCGGCGGCAGGTTGATGGCCAAGGAATCTCAGAGAACCAGGTTTAGTGAGTCCAGGTATTTCTCAACAAGATGCTCGGCTGCCCAAACAGCTATTCCAGAGGAAGAAGGCTTCCTATAAAATGAGAATAAAAACGTTCTCTATCCATTTGAACTAGGTCTAGATGTAATTTCTATCCTGCTCAACCAAGACTCATCATGTAGGTATCTGTTTACTGACTGATTTAGCATTAGAATTTAGCAGAAGGCCCAGCTTCAAGGTTCAAGCCAGGGGCCCAATGAGGCCTACAGTTTCTGGCTCCAGGACACAAACAGGGCATAGAGAATGCATGCATGGCGGTGGTCAACATCACCCTCTACATGAACGGTCCTTGCTACCAGCCTTAAATTCCCCAGTCGTTTTTAGTTACAATCCAAAGCCCAGACACAGGGCAGGCTATCCAGCGTTTTCCTTTATTTCCCATTCTGATTCTGCCTTCTTGCAGAAAATGAATGTGGTGGGGTTCAGGCACAGGCATATTGAAGGGATGGGTGCAAGCAGTAGGAAAGCTAGTGTCCTGTGTGTTTGCCAATCGCCCAAAGCTACACAGAAAGGCCCAGGGAAGTTGCGGGTATATGGGAGTTCTAAGGCTTTCACCTCCTCCTGCAATTTGTGTGCCCTGCAGTGAAGACTTTAATAGAAAAATAAGGATTCTGACACTGTGAGTGGGACAGAAGGGGGAAACCTTCTGTTCTCTAGCCCTGGGCTATTTTAACTCTCTCTAGGCTACCCTGAGGGGGTTGTTTTATTCTTGATGGCTAAACCATTTCACACTTGAGTATGTGTTCCTTTCCAGATATGCCTTTGTGTACCAATCCAATAGTTCTGATCACCTCTCCCCACTAACGGTTGGAATAACCCAGGAGGTTCATTAACTGTGGGGAGAGAGCACCCTTTGCTTCCTTCTGGGTCCAATGGGGCTAGGCTGATGCCGAGTGAGTGCACAGGCAAGTTGGATGAGGAAAGGTTGTTAGGTGCTCTCTCAGAGGCCCGGGTTTGTTGTCCGGAGGAGGGGGTCTGCAAGGAGCTAGTGATGGGTAAGCACGTGCGTCTGGTGGTTGTTTTATTTTATGTAACAAATTGCTGGAGCTCACTTTGCGGAGGTGGCAGGCTGCGGGGAGCTGCCCAGTAAGCCGAGACCTGGACCCGAGAGTCGCACGCAGGCAGGGAGGCAGGCAGGCAGGCATGCAGGTAGGCAGATAGTAGCTCTGGGCAAAGAGCCCGTGGTGCCCAGGAAGTCTTGATTTTGAAAGTCGGAGCCAGGCATACTCACGATTTTTTCTATGGGTATCACCATCGTGTTCAAAGACACTAATGATTCTTGTTTAAAAAAAAAAAAAAGCCATCCTCTGCTCGTCCCAGGATATGAAGCGTATCTCCCGCTTTTCCACCTTTGGTGTGAAGCCCGCATCCCTCCTCCACGGTGGATTGTCTCTCAACAATCGGCATTCCAACCTTAGTCTAATCTAGAGATGCAAAAGCCCCACATCTCCAAGATAAAGCCCACTTTCTCCTTTTGAAACCACCAAAGCTCCAGGAGAGTGGGCTGAAGCAGGCGCTGGGGACTGGGAAGTGCCTCAACTAGCCGGGAGAACCTAGAGGCCAGGATTGAATCTAGCAGGTGACCAAGGCTGGCCCTCCTCAGCCTCACAGCTTTAACGTATTTCCTAAGACGAAGGGGCCTGTGTGTTTAAGCGTCGAGGTGCTTCAAAGGTGGGGCCTGGGGCTTTCCTGGGAGCAGGCCAGGTCTAGAGGCAGCGAATATCCTATTGAAAATTAATGATGCCAAAGGGCAAAGGAGCGGCTGCCGGAGCCTGCACTTCCCAATGGGTCACCCGCATCCCTTCCTCTTTCCCACGGCTCCTCTAGGGATAGATAGAAAGTGCACACCTTCTTTCGGGATTAGTTCTTTCTCTTCCCACCCTAGGCTTAGGCTCTCCAGTCACCATCTCTGTCGTCGTGCGTGCTTTGTTCTATTCGAAAGCAGAAATCCCCGGTCTTCTCCCTGTTCGCCTGCCCCTTTCCGCTTCACCCCTATCTACCCATTTTTTTTTAAACCTCGCTATAATCAGGGGTTTTCTCAAGCGAGGGGAAAATAATAGTAGCTGAGGGAGGCCAAGAATCCCTCGAAGATGAAGGCGAGGGCTGGGGCTAGGCTGGGGGCAGAGTGCGAGGGGGGTAATTGCCCAGCGCCTCTCTTCTCTGATAGTCTCCTGGTCCTTTTCCCGTTCCTCCTAGCTTGGGTAGCTTTCCTCCGGTGTTTTAAACTGTGATAGATGAATAAGCAAAAAAAGAAAAAATCAAACCACATAATCCAAACAGTGGATTGTGGATTGGAAAGTGGATCCCAGACCCGGGTCGGGTGGGCGTGGGAGCCGGGAGATCTGCGGGTGCATAGCCTTTTTATTCAAGTTCCTATGGTCCCCCCCCCCCAGCTCGCCCTCCCCAGGCTTCCATTGCCAGCTTCTCGTGTCCAGTGACTTTTAACATCCTTCTTTCTCTACATCACTAAAATTCCCATGTCTACCGTTTTAATTGGAAAGGTGTCTGGCTTGGGGAGCCTCAGCCAGCATGACCCACTGCCTGCTTCGTTTTCCACCGCGGTTTGATTTTGCTCTCCTTTCTGGATTTCAGTTCATGCGGGGGCTAAAAGAGAAAAGGGGACACGGGGAAAGCTACGGTGGTAACGTAATAGTGTTTAAACTGTGAGGTCCGGGTCATCGAGGCAAAGCGGCCTCCCCAGCCGTTCTGTAGGCTCAAGCCAGGCTGGCTGGTGGCGCCTTGGGACTGTGTCCCCGGCATAACCCTCCTGTTCCGCAGCCGGCGAGCTATTTATACAGCTTTACCTGTACTATTCTCGTATCCAGTAAAAATCCTCGCCCGGCCTGGGTAACCTAATCCGGAGGCTGAAACGGAGGAGGGGGTTCTGGGGCTGGCTCCAGAGAAGAAGGAAGTGTGTTGTGAGACTTAAGCGGGGTCTCTTATTTGCTCCTCCCCCGATTGGGAAGGTAATTCGGATTTGGTTCGAGGAACCGAGGCTGGGAAGTAAGATTGAGACTTGGATCCATGTCCCAGCCTTTCCGGCTTTTCTCCTCTCAAACAGGCACTGTGGATTGACGAGGCGGCCCACAGCTCCAACCCACGCTCCAAGAAAGAACAGTGGTCCGGGGGATGACCAAGGACGAGTCTCCTACCGTGTCCTGCTTGGGGGCAGGTCTAGTTCTCCCTCCAGCCTTTCTTTTACAACTTCCATGCCTAAGACAAAATGACCAAGGAACCCAACCGGTACCTTCGCACCCAGACTCTCCCGGTTATCCCAGGCCTGCATATCGCAGAGCCCAGGCGGGGATTGCAGCGTGCACAGAATCGAATTAAACGCATTTCGGTGGTTATTGTCTCTCGCTAATTGCTTCAACAATGGCCACTGTTAAAACGGATACACCCAATTAAAGGCCCGGCGCGGTCTCCCTGGGTTCTCGCCACCGCCCCACTTCCCTAGTCCGAGGCGACGCAGACCTCCGGGTTGCGAGCCGGTGGTAAGGGGGTACCGGTGCCGGCCTGAATACCTCTGGCCTCCACTTCCTTCCCAGACGCACAGCGACCACGGTCTTTTCACTTCGTTTTTATTAATCGATCGCATCGAAGGAAGATTGATGGAGCTGGAATGGGAAAGGACTTTTTCCCTAGTCCTTGGGTCTTCGGGGTCCCGGGCTGTGTATTTAGTTTCTGGCCTTTGGTGCTACTCTGCTTCTCCCCGACCTCCTAGCCCTTCAGATTCCGGGCTTCACTTCAGTCGGTAGCCGCGCCATCAGATCCGCCCAGGCGGGCGCCGTGGCTCCGGGAGGAGGGACAAGGCAGTACGGCCCCGCTCCGCTTCGTTCTCCAGCCTGCAAATATTTGCTGCCTCTAGGAGAATCCTACTATGCCGCTTGCGCTCTGCATGCAAAGTCCTTAAGTAAACACGCTCAAATGACAGCCCTAGGCATTCCGAGGCACGCTTTCTACCCCTGCCCAGGATTAGTAACTATAGTATTTCGATCCCCGAGGTTCGGCTTTGCTGTTCACTCTCTGAAGGGTAACGCTCAACACCCCCTCACCCCACCCCAGAAGGTAGCATCTTTTCGCATCTCGGCCCCGCGGAGCTCGCCTGGCCTCTCCCGGAGTCAGGCTCCGGTTGGTGAAGCTGAGTGAATTTCTACCTTTTGGGTCCATGGCCCCAGTGATGAGGCCCAATCACCCGCTCAGCCTTTTTGCAATCAGGGCTTCCAAATTCTGATGGGGACCGGCTGTGTCTACTTCTAGAGGGATGGGGTCTCAACGCCCCAGTGAAGGAGAGTGGGAGGGACCTGAAGATGGGCAAGTGTGTGTGTGTGTGTGTGTGTGTGTGTGTGTGTGGTGAGGGGTGTCCCAGCTTACTCAAAGCATAGAGAAAGTCAGATCCATTTCTTACCCTTTCCCCAAGAGGGCACACATACCCTGCTCAACTTGACGCCTGCAGCAGCAGCCTCAAGGCCTGGGGTTTTCAGATAGGTCAAATAGGCTCCGGCTACCCAAGTGCACAGCCCTAGATCCCGGTTCTGCGCCGGCTCCGCTCCAGGATGCTGAGTCCCCAGGGACCCATAGCGTTTGTCAACCCCTTACCCTATTGAGAGAAGCCTCAGGAACTGCAGGAGCCAAAGACTCCAGGCAGCAGCGGCAACAGCATGCTCCTTGATGGCTTTCTCTTGCCTTTCCCCCAGCTCCGCCAGATGCTCCGGGGAAAGAAGGGGAGTAGGGTACACTGAGCCAGACCTGGTGTGTCTTGGGGGTGGGGTGGTGGTGGCACTCCAGGTCTTTAGGAGGGCACCCAGGCGGCCCCTAACGAGGCCCGGATCAGCTTTGTAGCTCTGGAACTGGAAGGATTGGGACCACCTTTCCCTCCGGCATCAAACCCCCTCCCCTCCCCCGCCACCCGCCAAGGGAGGAGGAAGCCCGGCCTGCATCTGCGAGCAAGGCGGGTCAGACCGGCGCCTGTCCTGGCCCAGACCCCCGGAGTCCAGCTCCCCGCCTCAGGCCACGCGCCGCAGCCTCTCCGGACTCGATCCCTTCCCCCTTCTTCCCGGTGGGTCTCGGAGCCGACCTCGGCCCTCCCTCCCCGGTATCCCCCTCCTCTCTTTTTCCCTCCCCCTACCCTGCTCTGTGTTTCTGACTCTGGGGCCGGCCCGTGACGTCAAACCCAGTGTGGCGTCGGCGAGACTGGCCGGCGCGGGCCATCAAAAGAGCAACGTCCTCTTTCCCAATTACCCACTGTCAGTCCGGGAACAGGGGCGGACCGACTGGGAATTACAAGTTAAATACCCCCTACAGGCTGGCTCCGTTGCCCGGGGCATCTAGCCTTAGGCCCCCTACCCCTTTATGCCAGCCCCAAACTACCTCAGACCAGGAGGGGCCTACTAGATGTTTTATTTTTCCAAGGGAGGGGAGTGTCCTTTGCATCCAGCATAGCTCCTCTGGTGATTGAATTAAGACGAATAATCCTCTCCATTCTTACTACTAAATTTATTAGAGAGGCGCCCCTACTTGGGAAGCCTTCCTTTTCAGAAGTATTTTCTTTTTCAGTCTTTAAAATTACGTTCTAAGCCTCATAGACTAACACGTTCAAGTCATGGCGTCAGCAGCTTTCTTTCCTGTCTCCAGAAGGATTTCTTTTGCTCTCTCTCTCTTTCTGCCCCCCCCCCCCCATCTCCGTGCCTCGGACCAAAGAGATATGCTTACTTGGTTACTTGGGATTTTTCCTCGAAGCTGTGAAGTAGGATCAGGCTGACTGATACCCTATACAACTCATGAGTGATGCAGAAATATTATCTTTTTTTTCTCTTTTAAACTCTCATTATAAATCTTAATCCCGGGCCTTTTAGCAAAAATGTGTGTGCGCTCTTCTCTGCTTGTTTATGGAATGGTTTCCGGTGAATGTTAGACAGCAACTAAATAATTAAAAGGTTTTGAGAGCGCCGTGAGCTGGATGAGATGCTGGCAGCTTGATTGGCCCAGGAGAGATGAGTTGGTCAAAGAGTGAAAGTAAAAAATCGATATTCTAAGACTGGGCTGCCCTCAGAAACGTGAGACCAAGGGGTGCAGGATGAACTCAGGAGGGAGACTTGTTTTTTAAGAGATATCTTCATAGTTTGTATTTAGAAATTCAGCCTTGATTTCAGACAAAGATCAGAGGTAGAAGATGAGGAGTCAAGAGAAGCTCCAAACCCAAGCCCACAGGGCATATTTCTAAATAAATTTTGTCTTCTTCAAGGGTGGTACTGTAAAAAGAACGCACTCCCTCCTCCCCGCGCTCCGCTGGCTTCAAGGTAGACATTGATGACTTTTCTCCACAGTAGAATAGAAGTTATTTGGAACTTTTAAGAAAGGGCTTGTCGGGAACCGAAGTTTTGATTCGGTGGGAAATATTATGGGGTAAAGAAATAAAGAGGGAATGACGCCTTCAATTCCAGTAACCCTCCAAAGCGAAGCTCTCTGCCCCGGAGGGTGGAACGGGAACACCTTCTCTTACTCTGCCCTGGGGTGCACCCGAAGTCTCTTTCAGACCTTGCTCATCCGGGCTGTGTTTTCTGGACCCAGGCTGCAGAAACCTCAACGCCACTAGGGGATGCAGTGACTCAAAGGACTGAACAGGGCCGCAGAGGTTGGAGCCCGTGGGGCGGGGCGACTGCGGCCCGGTCGTGGTATCTCCTGATGATTGGTCCTTACAAATGGTCCCGCCCTCGTCCGCCCCGCCTCCTCCACTGGGCGTCTTCCAACTTCTCTCCTTGTGTCAGCTTTGCTGCCCACCCACTAGACCCGGGCCCAGAGACCCACCATGTCCAGGGAAGTTGCTGCTGGGTTCCACCTCGGAGGTCAGGGTAGGGGATTATGGAGGGGACCGTTTTCCTTGGGTGAAAGCAGAGTAAAGTAGCACCCCGAGCTGGGTGAAGGGAAAAAGTTAGGCCACTCCAGCAAAGATCAAGTTAGTTGTACACCGTACTTTGGGGACTAGTGAGCCTAAGTCTTACCAATTCAGCTTTCTTCGCATCACGTTGTCACTCAAGTCAAAAGCACGCATTGATTATATCATTAGATCTGAAAAAGACAGTTTCAACAGCTGACGCTGTTCGCGCTGGAGAGGTTTGGGGAAGCAAGCGGAGACCATAGCCATAACGCGGGCGTCCGAATCAAAGCCCAGGTCCTTTGCGCGACTCAGCAGCCTCCCAGGAAACTGGTTCAGGAGGCAAATCTTCAATAACTTTGCCATGAAACTTTTCTGACCAGTTTTACATGCACATAGTCCCTAAGCTGATATAAACTGAAACAATGTTCTGGCTTGAATCCTAATTTAAAAGTTTGCTCTTTTTTTTAAAGTATGTAAAAGAAAAGTCTGCTTATGGAAATAAGCTTTATGAATGGGGCGGCCGGGTTTCACTGGTACGGAATAATCTACTGAGCCCGAATGAATTGGCTTTGCCACTTTTAAAGGGCCAGAGAGCGAATTCCCTCCTGCCTGTCCCCTCTGCCCCAAGCCCCGGCCGGCCTCGCCCACCCTGCCCGCGGCCCCTCTGCCCTAGGCGGCCCTTGGCGGCGCCCCTTTCCGGTCAGTAGAGGGGCGGGAGGAGGGGCGGCGGTGTGCGGGGGTGGGGGCGATGGGATGGGGGTGGAGGTGAAGTCCTGGAGCGGGTTTGGGTTGCAGTTTCCTTGTGCTGAGGATCGTGTCCCCTCCTGCCAGCGCCAGGCTCCTCCCCCTCGGCGCGGATGACACTAGAACCTCCTTAAGTTGCGTCGCGCCACAGCTGTCTGCGAACACTGAGCTGCCTGGCGCCGTCTTGATAGTTTCAGAAAGAATGCATTCCCTGTAAAAAAAAAAATACTGAGAAAGGGAGAGGAAAAGAGAGGGAGAGAGAGAGAGAGACTGAGAGAACGAGACATAGAGAGCTACGCAATCTGACCGGGCTGGTCACACGCCTCCTCCTCCTCCTCTCTGCTCCTTGCTACTCAGGTTGGTATTGTGACTTTTTTTTTTTTTAAGTTTGATATCTCTCCCTGTTGGAGGGACTGGTTTTTTTGTTTTTTGTTTTTTGTTTTTTGTTTGTGTGTGTGTGTGTTGGGGGTTTATTTGTGTGTTTGTTTGATTTTTATAAACTAAAAGCTCAGCTTTCTCCTTTTGGAGGATTTGTAGTGGTTGGAAAGATCCTGGGGCCGTGTCTTCCAGGGAGGACTTGTCCCCAAGTTTTAATTGCTTAGTCAGTCCCGGGCTCCTGCGAGCCTGGGTGTTGGAGGTGTGCTGGGGAGCTTGGCTTCCTTTCCCTCTGGGTCTTCGCGTGCGTGTGCACGTCCCGGGTGAGTCGGCCCTGCGGGTAGCTCGCGAA